CTTCGAATTGTATCAAGTTTTTGATTAATTTTTGATAACTAATTGTGAATTATTATTTGTTTCTCTCTGGGGAATGATTTTGGAACCAACCACCTGTTGTTTGTGGTTTTCCATTTTTGTTTTGGTGATGCTATATGAGTACGAACCAGCAGCCCAATGCTTGGAACTGCTTTTGTTTGATGCTGCTGCATTTTTGGACTGGAATTGGGAAGCATTTCCAATTTTAGGTACCACTTTGTTCTCGGTTTGAATATCTGGAGATGTGATGCACGAGGAAATGGAGCTCAAAAGCATTTGCACTGCTGTTTTGGGTTTCCAGGGGGTTTTTGCTTTGACCATTTCTGTTGTTGATGTTTTTTTGCTATTGAGAACTTGTTTGTGGTGGTTTCGAGTTCTCCTCGTACTGATTTTGAGTGACCTGCTGGGCTATGGGAGGGACCTACTGTTATACGGGAAGAGGCTGTTTTGAATCTTTTGAACCAAATGCTCAATTGCCACATGAATTGAACTGATGGAACTGCTTTGGACTATGCTCAACCTTTTTGTACTACATTTTCCACTAGACAGTGGGGAGATGTTGGACTGAGGCTGGGTGATTCCAGGGCTGTTTAGACAATCATTTTTTGTGAGCTGGACAGTGGCTGGGTGATGCATTGGGTTTCATGAATGAAATGACCATTTTGCAGGGCTGTTTTGGATTATGGAACAATATGGTGTATTGGCACAAGAATTGAACCTGGTCAGAGCATAATCGTGTGACATTGGATAGTTTTTGGGCGGGCATTTCAGGCGTGCTGCCCATTAATGCCAGTAAATTGCTATTTTTGGGATGATTTTGAATTCCAATTTGAATCTAATTTGGGTAACGAGGGCGCTGAAAATTTGAGCTGAACTCTTGGCAATTGGATGCTTCGACAGTGGATTAAGGGACCAGTTGTGGGCTGATTTGGAGCTGAATCTCTTGGGCATGATGGTCTAATTGGTTAGCTTCTGTTTTTCTTTTCCTGATGCCCCTGGTTTTGCCTCATTTATTAAGGTAATACCAACTGTTTTGGATGGGTTTTTCACGCGGTTTTGCCTCATGATGGAGGTAATACCATTTCGATTGGGGTTGAGTTTTATGTTGTATTTTGCCTCAATGGTCCTGCTGGCAAGCTGCCTAAGCTCTTTCTCACCCTTTCGGTTGGGGCTTTTGGAGGAGCCTGGGTTATCTCGGCCAACAAGTGCATCTTGTGGCTGAATTGGCTTTTTCTCGGGTTTTGTTTTCGCTGGGAGTGTGTTTTCGCTGGATCCTGCCTATCTACGTCTTGCTTCTAAATACAAACCGAGGGCAATTGTGGATGAAGGCTTACGGGGCAACCTAGTGAACTTGCTCCTAGTCTTTATGGGGACGCTTGCCAAATACTTTGGGGGAACTTTGACCATAGACCTAGGGAGGGGTTTGTATGGCAGAGTGTGTGTCTCTCGGGTTACTTTGGAGGTTAAGCTGTCTGCCTTGACGAGGGTGGACAACTTCTGGCACTCGGGGATTGGCCCCTTGGCATGATGGTGGAAAGCATCAACCTCCTTGATGGATGATGGTGACTATGGTAAGATTAACATTTCGCTCGCCTCTTTTGGATGCATGATATTGAGTGAAGAATTTTGAAGCTGGTTTTTAATCTTGATTGAGCGTTTTTTCGTACTCGATCCTTGGGGAGGGAGTATATATGGGTGGTCTGTGCTGATACCCCCAATATATGCTCCCTCCATGCTCTTGCTTTGCCTACCGTACTATTGCTGGGATGATGCATGGTACTCGTAGCTGGAAGCGGATTCCACAACAGCCGGGACGTGGTCCACTATGATGAAGTGGGACCAGATTGATGTTTTAGTGATGGTTATGTATTTTGTATGGCCTGCGTGCCAAGTTTATGTATGTTGATTGTTGTATTATCTTTGGCTTTTTTGTTGATGTTTCTTGTCTTATTTATGCATGGAACCATTCTTATGGTTCGACATTTGACATTGATGTACCGTTCTGAGTTGGGGTAATAATAATTTACATTTTACCCTTGAAAGAGCTCTCAATGTTCGGACAAGATACGCTCTGAGGCGATCGCGATGAACAGTACCCTGTCGTCTTCTCCGTTCATTCTCAGTGCTCTCCAAGCGGCCAAAGCTTGATCTTTTTGCAGATTCTTCATCCCCTCCTTGTCGCACACACATCTATTGGTGGAATCCTTTTGGTTCTAGTGATTCTGTGGTCAACGCAAACTAGGGTCGGAGCGTCTCAATTCATCTTCTTCGTTGCTCTACTTCGATGGTTCACGGGTAAGTGTGGCTTGTCCCTCCTAACTTTTGCACTTCCTTATCATGGGGAAGAAGATTAAGAAGTCTGTGAAGACTCCTGCACCACACTCACCTCCGAAGGAAAAGAAAAAGAAGCAAAGGTTGTTATGGAAGATGAACTGGTACCTGTTGAGGACTGTGATGATTTCTCTGATGATGGTTGTGAGGAACCCTCGTTGCAATCCTCCAACAACACCTCTATTAATGAAGAAGAGGTTGCGAAGGAATTGCAGATTTCCCTGGAGAAAAACCTTGAAGCGATTATGTCTGAGAATACACCTCTGGTTACTGACAAACCTCCATTAGGTGATAACACACCTCTAGAAGCCTGTCATGAAGCACAACAAGGAACCCCCATCAACAATGAGAGGTAGGAGGATAGTGAAGATACATCTGGTAAGAAAAGGGGAGGAGCATGCTGGTAAGTAGGCAGAGGGTCCCAAAGAAAAAACTAAGGATAATGAGAAGAAGACTTTTGCTTCATTCTTCAAGAAAAAAAGGTCTGAGACAAAGGGAATGAAACTTTTCAAAGTGGAAAGCAGCTCTACTGAGGTCTTCATCCCTGAAGAGGACATGGTTTCTGTACTAGACATTTGGGGACCATGTCTTGTGGGGTGTTTTACAGGAACATTTCCTAGCATGGCCTCAATCCAAAAGGTTGCAGATGGGTGGGGTGTCCAATGCCAGATTGTCTCACATCACAAGGGGTGGAAAGTTTTCAAATTCAAGTCTGTGGAAGATAGGGACACTGCACTAGTCAAGGAACATAAAGAAATCAGTGTTGGCCATGTGTGCAGCAATTGTCCCGTGGCAGAGGCTATGTGGGCTGAGTCACAGTCGAATGTCGTGGGCACTTGTGTGTTGAATGCACTATAAGGCTAGGGTATGCACCTCTTCTAACACCAATTGGTTTTAGAAAAGTTGGTAGCGCCTGAGGTCCTACAAGTGGTATCAAAGCCAAGGTCACGAGTTCGATTCCCATCAGGAGCAATTGATGAGGGGGAAATTGTTGCCCATGTGTGCAACAATTGTCCCGTGGCGGAGGCTATGTGGGCCGAGTCACAGTCGAATGTCGTGGGCGCTTATGTGTTGAATGCACTATAAGGCTAGGGTATGCGCCTCTTCTAACACCAATTGGTTTTAGAAGATTTGGTAGCGCCTGAGGTCCTACAATTAGCAACAAGAAACTTCTGCTAAGTATCCCAAAAGATAACTTCATGTGGGATGTTAAATATTTTGCTACAATGCCTGTTTGGGTTAAATTTTGGAATGTGCCAATGCAGTTTTGGTCTTCTAAAGGACTATCCCACATTGCCTCAAACCTGGGTGAACCACTATACACTGATGGGCTAACAAACACTACTACAAAAACGACCAAATAAATTGCCCCATTTGCATCGCTAAGAGGAACAAACGATTTAAAAAGAAAAAAAATTCGTGTAGCGCTTTACATTGGCATTGGTTATCCTTAATAACCGATGCAAAAGGTTATTTGCATCGGTTATTAAGGATAACTAATTCAAATGCTTTTAACCTTTTGAATCGGTTATCCTTAATAACCGATGCAAAAGGTTATTTGCATTCACTACGTCAAAAACAGATGCTGACAACTGTTTCTTTTAGTAGTCTCGCGGTGCTGATTTCAGTAGTCTTCCGAGCAGCTGTATATATATTTACAGACTACTGTTTAAAAATAGTTGTGTAAAATACTTGACGACACCTGTTTTGTAATGTTTTAGAGTACGACTTTTTAGTGTTGTCCTTGTATGAGTAAGACATCTGTTTTTTAGAGTTAAAGAGAACTGTGATTTTTTTTGTCTATCTATAATGAATACTACTGTTGTTTTTAACTTTAGACTTCTAATTCTTGGTGTTGTCGTTCAATAATATAGACATCTACTTTAAAAAGTAATTGAAAGATATATCAGACTGCTGCTCGGAAGACTACTAAACAAAAATGGCATCAGACAACTGTTATCTTTTGTTGCATTTCTAGAATATGGACTACTAACATTATTCTTATTCAAACTACTGTTTCTTTTAGTTGTATATTGATTATTAACACAACGGTGTTTTGTAGTTTTTCTTGAAGTATTCAAACTATCTTTTAGAACAGTAATTAAATTGTTTATGAGACAACTACTCTAAAGATTACTAAAGAAATTTGCTTCAGTCAACCATTATTTCGCATTGTATTTTACAAATATGAACTACTGTTTTTGTAGTATTTCAAACAACTGTTTGTTTTGATTGTCTAAATGTAATTAATACTGCGAGTTTGTGTAGTTGTACATATACTCTTCAAACTATTAGTTTGAATGGTAGTTGAATTTTTTATTAGAGTTGTTATCTTGTGTTGATTACCAAATAAATATAAATTCAAAAAATACAATATATTGAACAATATATAAATTCATACATTTATAATACTATTAACATCTAATAATTTAATATTTACATCATCTTCCTTACAATTTGCATATTCTACATCCCTGCCTTTTCAATCCATCCTATTCCTCTGTGAAAAAATCCAATACGAATCCGTATTTCACGTCGGCTTAGGCTAGGCGTTCCATGGCGGTGTTGACATAGTCTATCGACACAATCTCAACATCAGGCGTGATGTTATGTTGTCTTGAGTCTGCTTTAATTTATTCCAGCGATGCCACTTCCTGCAACCAATTTTCTTCCTGCGATCCACAATCAAAACATAAAATTAATGTCATTTAGTTCATTTTAGATCAATGCCAAGGCAGAGCAGAGATATGTACAACACTCGAATGGAAGGGTGGCTAATATTACATACCCATGATCAAGGGAAACGCCAACAAGTCAAGGGGTTTCTCCGGGAGACCAACAAATACAAGCTTACAAGCTTACCATTGGTCTTCAATAAGCTTAGTAGTGGCGTAAGAGGATGAACTATAGAAACTGTGTCTATTATCCCATCAAGTGTGCTCTTTGTAGCCTTTTTTCCATATATACCAAAACCAATTATAAACCATATCATCATCAGAACTGTTAGCGAAATGAATAATAATACTCTCTAATTATGAATAAATTAATCATAACTTACCTGCATTTATTCAGGGTCACAACTGATCAAGAAGGAATCAACACCAAAACGTTCTATTGCCTCTTGTTTTTTGTCGGCAGAGGTGCTGATGACAGTAACCCGAAGGCTTTGGTGTACTTGACAAAAAACCTTGGATGAGGGGGAGCGCGATGAACAAAGTGATTCTTTCATAGTGTGAGAATGGTCACCTGTGTCATCATCCATAAGATTCAGTCATTATATTATATTACAGTGTACAAGCAACAATGATGGAGAACTTAGTAATTTGAATGCACAAACAAACCCACTGCCCAAGCCACAGTCACCAGACCAGTGATTCAAAGGCCATAGAAGCAGCACAACAACAACTTCTAAGTGCAATAAACCTAACCATGCAATCAGTTGGGCATTCCACAAAGGTGGCAAATTCGCACAAGCAAATTCCCACAATGGTACACTAATCTGGGCAGTCCAGAAAGGCAG